TTCTCCCTTACTGCGAGGAGCTGCCTCAAATCTCTGGAGTCCTCCTTTACAGTCGGCGCCAGTGATTGTTGTTTTTTTTTTAGTGTCGGTATGAACTATTGGTGTCCAACTTGTGGATACCATCCCACTACATTTCATTACTGAATGAGTGACTAACAATTTTGATGGATCTACAAAGAGATACAAGCTCTCATACTGCAATACCCACTTGTACATCAGGGACGTGCGGTCAGGGGAGGCAGGTGAGGCAGGGCCTCACCTAGTATTATGGAGGAAAAAGCTGTCAGCTTCAAGTCTGAAGCTGACAGCTTTTTCTCCATTCCGATCGGCTTGTTACAGGTTACATTTTTAGGGAAAGCCTCCACGCTGTGTAACCTGTCATGGACAGAGCGCTGCCTGTTAATTACGTTGCATCTGGCTTTTGACAGGTAGTTAGGTTACACAGCAGCGGGCTTTCCCACTGCTTGTGCAACCTAACTTGGTGAGGCAAGAGCTGTCACAGCCTCTACTCTGTGTTAGAGGCGCGAGCTCTGTGGATGGCTTGGACCAATGGCAAAGCGCCATTGGTCCAAGGTGTCCAATAAAAAAAATGGAAAAAAAACAGTGATTACATCAAACTCGATGCCTCACCAGTGACAACCAGTGACATTTCTGGAAAGAGGTTACTCTGAAAACATTTTAGTAAACACACTAGAAATGTCAAGAACAAGATTTCATAACCTTAAACCGAGAGAAGAGAATGCAAACAATACATTACTAATCACCAAATTGAATGCACAATTCAATTCACATCACATCAAACAGGTACTACAGCAACACTACCATTCTGACAACCAGGGCAGCCATCAGGGGGTACGGCCAATACTCATGTAAGGGGCCGGGCAGCCTGGGGGGCCCGCCCGGGTCCCTTACAGGACTATCGGCTGACGGTGAAGGGCGAGGAGACGGAGGCCTGGCCCTAGCAGCGCAGGGCCCCAGCATTGCCGCTCCAGCGGCTTTGAGACAAGCTAGGACCCCATCAGCGACGCTGCTCGTCTGATGTCGGACTGGCCGGAAGTGACGTCACTGGCCGGTCCGGCGGCAGACGAGGCCATATGTGCAGGTAAGAGGAGCTAAGAAGGAAGGAAGGAAAGGAGAGAGGGGAGGGACCCTGACCAGCCCACCAGAGACCCCTTCAGAGCCCACCATAGACAGTCTCAGGTGGGTCCTGTGTCCAGCGCGTCACTAAGCCCTGCGCCCAGCACGTCACTAAGCCCTGTGTCCAGCGGTGTGGGGGGGGGGGCCCGGCCTACAGTGATACAGTGATGACTGCCCTGCTGACAGCAGACAAAACTCTCACATCTAGTGTCAAATAAATACCACAAACTGTTTATTCGAAAAATAGATCAATTAGAGATCTCTTGGTACGCGCTGACCCATGTGATAAATATGACACCCTGAAACATACATTCTCCACTAGGAAGGGGTGTTACAAATGCTGTAGTTGTAACTCATTAATTATTGGTGATTCCTTTTTCCATCCTCACACGATTAGGAAATATCACATCCAGGGCTATCTCAGCTGTTTTACTGATTTCTGTTTATATATTTTAAAATGTTACTGTTCTTTAGTGTATGTTGGAAAAACCATCAACCTATTCAAAAAATGATTTCAAAAACATAGAAGCGACATTAAACAAGCAATTGAACTGAGATGACAAGGGAAAGACACAGATTCTAACAAACCAGTGGCAGGCCACTTTGTGCCACATAATCATCAAGTACATGAACTCAGGGCCATGGTCATTGAACACGTACCAAGACTACATGGGGCGGCAACCGTGATAACATCTCATTACGTCGAGAGGACTTCTGGATTTACACATGTAATACAGTAAAACTAAGAGGGCTCAACACCACCTTATCGCTATCATGCTTCCTCATTGACTGATATAGATTTATGTCCATCCCCCGCCCATATATAACATCTATATGCATTACTCATGATATCTTTCCATATACCTACATGTAAAACCACACCTCACCTTAGATGCAGTAAAGCATGTGTTTTATACACGCTACTATCACATGTTTACAGAATGAGAAAGTGGTTAAGCGTTGCGTATTAACCCCTTGCTGTCCGGCTAATTGTAATAAATGACTGGACAGCTCTCTCATAATGGCGGAGGGCTTATTTAAACTCTTTTTTCCCCTGCCTGCTCATGCATGTGCCCATGGGCACATATGAGCAGAAAACAGTTTAAATTGTGGATCGCTGGCTATGGCTGTTCTGGGTAGCTATAGAGTTGCCCAATTGCTTGTATGGTGCCAGGGAGTGTGCCCCCCCCCCCCCCCCCCCCCCCTTTTTGGGGCCCGGGGGGGGGCCCCCCCCCCCCCCCGCCACCAGCTATCTCAGGCTCCACTGTCCTCCGCGCAGGCCCAGGACCAGTGTGGTGGGTCTCTGTGGCAGAATCAGAGGGAGATCAGCCACTTTTATCGGCTTATCTCCTCCAATCAGCGGACCGGGAAGTGATGTGTATTACATCACTTCCAGTTTCAAGCTGTCATTTCTTCAGTTGCTGTAGCCGGAGAAGAAGCTGGTGAAGCAGATCCCTGCTTCATCAGCTTCTTTGGGATCCCTAGGTTACATTAGAAGTTAAATAGAACCCTAATGTCTCCGTAAAGAGGACCTGTCACTGTATCTGTGATATCACATAGCGGATTGTTAGCAAAAGTAAAATCTAATAAAAAAAATAATTAAAGTCACATATAAAAAAAAATTATATAAAAAAGTCCCCCACCCCCACGAAGGTGTTGGGTGCGCCTACATGCAAAAATGACGATTACACCACACATTTTACAATATCGGAGTGCAAGCAATAATTCTAGGGCCAGAAGTCTTGATTAAATACCACCAAAAGAAAGCTTTGTCTGTCCCAAAAAAAGATATAAAATTGATTTTGGTGCGGCATTGTATAACTGAATAAATGTCAGTCAAAGTACAGCTGAACTGAATACTGAAAAATTGCCTGAACCAGAAGGGGGCTTAACACCCCAGTCTTCAGTTGGTTAAAATAGGGGTCTAATTTTGGGAGGTCTGATTGGTCAAAACTGATTTAAAACAAAGATAGATATCTAAAAGGACCTTATGGACTTTCAGAGAGAAAGATAAAATAGGCAGGCTAACCTAGAGGAGAGTGTAGATTATTATGTTACCTTTTTACAAACCAGAGAAGACTTTAAATGATGTTTTACAAATTTCCCACATCTTTCTTAAAATTTGTATTTATCTGCTTATGTCAGATTCAATACATATTCATTTTCAGATTCATAACATTTAAAGTGTGAAGTGAGACTATTGTGACTTGTAGCTTTTAACTTTCAATGCCCACACCTCATCCGATTTAATATTGACCTGTCCCCAATCAGGTGAGATTTTCCTGAAGAGGCCGCACAGCTATTTGTCAGATCTAATTGAGAAGGCCTGAGTATGTTTATTGCTTTCTTCATTCAATCCAGTGGATCATATTCTGCTGGCTCATACCCACCCTTTATAGGTCAGAAAAACTGCCCCATATGTTGAATTGAAATTATGATTTGTCTATATGGAAACATATCTCCCCATATATGACAAAGGTCTTTGGTGTTCTGTGCTTAGTAGAGTACACCTCAATCCATGTGAGTGGATGTTTACAGGGAGCAACTAGAATCTGTTGTTACTTTAGTATGAATACAGTGGCTATAAGCATAGAGGTGCATCAGTTTTAGGTATTTCCCATGTGGCCAATAGACAATAATGGGCACTTAAAAAAAAAACTAAAAGATAGCATTAAATAGCCTATAAATAAGTGAAATAACAAAACCAGATACTGATGCTACAAGTCCTGGTCTGGTGACCAGCATCAGTTACCCACTTCCTCTTAGACCAGGTTATCCCGGACCCGCCCCTGCCTGTGACTGGACAATGACAGGAGATGCAGCACAGTCATGAGCTTATCTTTCTGTTCCTACGGCATGCTTCTTGGCAGCATATGACATGATTGGCTCCTTGTAAAGCTTCTTCTACTCAAACTCTAGCCCTGTTGTACAGGGACTGCAAGTGGCTAATACCAGGTCAAATTCAAGCGCTTACACTGCCTGTGTTTTAAAAAAAATAAAATGTAATGATGTATTAAGGAACACGTTTAATTATATTAATTTGTGTTTTTATATCTGCCTGGACTTAAGCTTTAATAATAAATATTTTTTTAAATATAATCTACAATACAAAAGAGGATAGTAATTAGAATTTAATGCAATGTAATTATTAGAAATGAAAAGCAACAATAACTAAATAGTTTAGTGGTGTAATATTAATTATGCAACTTTGTTTTATTTTTTTAAGTTTACAATGTATTGGTTAAATTGCATATTATCTTTATTTTACAAATAAGCATTTAATAAAGTATGTTTCCATGTTTTCAGAGCATACAATGATTTTTATTTGGAAAGCACAGCACTAGCTCTGCATTCATTTACTGCTCTTGCAGATAAAAGGAATTATAGGAGAGAGATTGGTGTGTCATTAAATTGGAATCTGCATAAACTTGATAAACTATAGAAAAATGTAGTCTGTATTGCTTTAAGCTGTTTAATTTAGTTATTGCATTGACATATTATTATTATTTGGGTAACAGTTTACCTAATTAAGAGTGTGTTTTCCCTGGTCAGACCTGGCAATTTGAATTATATTTTTTATTCCGCTCATCATCCCAACCACATGACAGTCTCCAATATTTCAAGGAGGAGGCTTGTTGCGATAGCCCATAATTATTTGCACTGGTAAATGTTAAGGGATAACAAGCAAATGTTATAAAGGCTTTGCGAGGCTATAGAAATAATTGATTCAGGAGCAGCTACATTTTTTTGCCTATTTGACTTGACAATTAATATGCCTGTTTGAAAAATAAAATTAAAAATTCACACTGTGTGTATTGTTATTATTATATTGTTCTAATAAAACTTTGTATTTATCTTTGCAGATGTGATGCAGGATATAGTGGTTCAAAATGTGAAAAAAAAGACTTTAATGTGTTATATGTGGTCCCAGGCCCAGTACGCTTCCAGTATGTCTTAATAGCAGCAGTGATTGGAACCATTCAGATCGCCATTATCTGTGTTGTAATCCTTTGCATCACAAGGTTTGTACTTGTTTTTTTGTTTAAAAAAAAGTGTTTTATTTGTCTGGCAGTGTGTCTTTTAACCATATAAACTGTTTCATAACCATATAAACTGTGATAATAATGACAAAGGGAATTTAAAAAGTAAAAAAATATATTAGCAAGTACCATATCTGTGTTTTTGAATATGTTTTTATTTTGTATATTTGCATAACAAACCTAGAGGGTCTGTTATTTAAATGTACAGTCATTCCCCAACTAGGTTCAATTTCCTGGAGGAACATTTATTAAATGCTTTTATTAGGTTTGTGTATGCAAATGAACATATTGTTTGCTTGTGTACATTATGATAATTTTAATGACAAACCTCAAATAGCATAGCACAATATAAACTAGAAGAAATAAATATTTCTAAGGAACCTGGACCAGCTTAATTTGGGGTTTTGTCTTTGTATATACTGATTAGTGTACTTGTAAGAACTTGCTTGCTAGCAGCGGACTTGCATAATCATTATTTACCTGTTAGTATAACTCCTTTTGTTGGATATCAGATTCACAGTCATTAAGATAGCACCTACAACAATATGTGGTACAAAATAATAACACAGGTGACCACCAGTGTTAACCGCAATGATAAGCCTGATAATGATAAGAGCCAAACCCTCTGGTCAGGATTCAGCAGTATACCTACATCTAAAAGGAAAAATATCACTCCTCTAAAGACAGTCAAGTACGCATCCTAGACAGGGAGGAGGACTGGTTTAAAAGAGGTGTGAAAGAGGCCATTTATATAAAAATGGAGAAGCCAAGCTTGAATAGAGGTGGGGTAAAATATTGTCTGCCACATACAATGCAGTTTTAATACCTCTCTCTGGGCAGGTTAATAACACCTCCTAGACTCCTAACAGATTATATGGATTGAAGCAACATTCACCATATTTTTTCCCAGATAATTTTTGTACAAGTCATTCTGAATTGAGAAAGCTGGTTGGATGACCAGTGAAACGTCAAGAAAAATACAGCAAATCCAGTTGCCTTGACGTATTCTTTACAGATAAGCCTTGTGATGTGATGGCTATATAAGTCTCCACATCTACACATATACTATATAGCCTGGCAATAAGGTGTGAACACTTGAGTGAAAGCTCAAACACAACAATAGAAATGTATTGGTGTACAGTGAAATTACCTAAATATGGCAAACCATCAATCTATATACAAGGACATGATCAAACATTCTACAACATAGTATTAAGGACACAACAGTAACATAGACTAGTCGTAACAAACATATATAGGTGCCAGGATATATCCAATAATTACTGAATTAAATGTGGGACCCTCTCTGGTGATCAAAAATGAATTTTACTCCCAGGCTCTCTCCATTAATATAGACCTAGCACTCATTAATCAAATTAGACTAGTCCTCTGATGATTGGATAGTTTTAAATATTCTTTGTTACTATAACTCTTCCTTTTTTTTTTGCAATGTGTTAAATAGCTACCTGCCCAGAATTTTGGAGGAAAAATTAAAAATGCACAAGTGTTATAGAACCTCCCAAGGTCAATTTGTGCACCATTAAAAGCCAGTCATTCATATTGTTTATGTAAACAAGAGAAGGCTTTGAAGCTGGTATCTGGAGACAAAAGAAAGTTTGCTCCCATTGGTTAAAAAATGAATCTGGTAGTGACCTGACTGTATGAATTTTTCCTGCCTATTTTCTTTTATGTAACATATCATCTGGAACTAACAGAATACACCCTGGCATTTGTGCATTCAATTAAATACGTTCACACATCACCAAGAACAGGCAGAAAGACAAGTTAGGGAAATAGATTATACACACATATTAATAACACTCTAAGATATATTTATATGCATGATTATATACATCTGCCAATGTAGATTTCACAGAAACCTCATATTATAACAGGCAGCATATTTTTTTAAGAGAGGTGCTGTTAAAATGAACTTAAGCCAATTTTATTTTAGTTTTGGATAGAGTGCTGAGGAGTAAGAACCCGTTGTAAGGTTTTATTGTTGTCACATTCATTCTGTTTATTTAGAAAATATGATATTTACATAGACAATGTTTTTAGAGATAGTATCCAGAGTTGTGATCAGTGATTTATGTTCAGAATGGTCTAAGTTATAGATCGTATAACCCAAAGTAAAGTTATGGTGCCACTTCTGTTTACCTTGTTTACAAATTAGGTGGAGTTTGTTATAAAAAAACTACTGTTTCTTTGTTGATGACACAGAGCTATCTAGTACAATGCAGTCCATGTGAGGTGACTGACACAGACACATTGGAATAATGATTGAGCAGCTACATGGCCAAATAAGTTTAATGTGGATATATGTAACATTCACCCATACTGTTATAACAAACAAGTTTCTTCTGCATTTGCAAGTACGTCTTCCACTCTGTTCACCACCAAAGGAGCTCTTCTAGCCCAAACCCTGTGTTGCTGATGGCTCATGTGTCCTGAGAAAACAGCAATCATACAAGTTCATGCAGCAATAAACCTGAGGGTATAGAAATGTTTCCACACCATGATTGATCTCTGCACATTTCTGGGCATTACAAACCCACCTGCTCCTAAAAAGCATGTAATCTTCTTGCACAGAGCTAGCACACCAATATCTCTAGCCAATTCACTTGTGTTTTTGCTCAGAAAACAAGTGCAAGCATCCTTTTTTCCTTAAGTTCAATTCCAGTGATTCTACTGGTGCCTATTACTACTCAAGAAGAACTCCCATGGTGTATTGAAGCCTTTCGACACTCCCTGTTTACATGCAAATAAAGAGCGCCTGTGAATCATTACCAGGGGGATGCATTGGGCAAATTGATGGATATGTAGATCTTACAGATTATAGACTTAGTGACTTCATGCAATATGTAGCTTCTCAAGCCTGCAAGAGCCTGCCATAAAGAGTGATGTAATTTTACCCCAATTCAAAGTATTTGTCTTATCTTGATTATGTAGTTCAATTGTGAGCACCACTCCAAGGAAAATATGACCTGTTACTGGAAGGAGTGCATAGAAAGGTAATTATTAGGGGATTGGAGAATCTTAGTTACAAGGAAAGCCTAATTTTCTGAATGTATTAACCCTTAGGAAAAAGCCCTTAAGGGGAGATATAATTGCATTTCATAATTACATACATGGCCATTATATAATTCTGTAATAACTGTTTATTGTAAGGTTACCACAGAAGACACAAAAACAAGTAAACAGATTGTGGGCTTGTTCACACCATTTCCAGACCCGTGCCATCTTCAGGTGGGAAAAGATATTTAACTATGACAGCTGAAAATAGAAAGTAGACGTCAACAGGAACTGGTTTTAGCAGATACAATGGACTATTTCAAAAAGGTTTCAGTGTTTTCCTTTCTAAAAATATATAAATGTTTAACCACTGATTTATCCAACTATAATTAAGAGACAGAAAGGATGTTTTACCTGTTAAAGCAAATTTGACCATACTTTCTCACAGTTTTTTGTTAACTTCCTTCTGGAAAAACGAGAGGTTTCTTTTTGGTTTAGGATTTAACTGGAAGGACTTTTAACTTTAACCTATGCAACAAATAATACCCACTTATGTATACTAATACACCCATAATGTATGCACGCAAGTGTACAAACATCATTCCTACTTATTATCCTCTCAGCCAATACATTGTATCAGCTGACCTGCCTTTTGTGTCTCAATCCAACTACCACATTTTACCATAGCATACAGCAATGCCCTGCATGCAAGATGACTTAAAATAAAGTGGACCTTTCATTATTGAGGGTATGAAATACCCAATACTCCTATATCCCGAAATACACCTCTAGAAAGGTGTTTTTAAATGCCTTTACCAATAAAAATGCAATGCATTACCTTGCAAAAACATTGATTAGAAAACGCCCCCAACAAATTGAAAAAGTGTGACATGGAGGGGGTGATTGCAGTCAGAGCACATGGCACGCCATAGACCAAGCTCCCCCCTGTCACTCACTGTTCTCTGCAATATTATGAAAAGGCTCACTCAGGACACCACAGGCTCCACACTATGACCTGTATTTCATGACTGAGTGAAAAATGCAAGTGAAATGTTTAGTTAACACTGTTAACCTGCAGAGACTGATATCTGCCCTCCATTTTAAATAAGGGCTCTCAATCTCTGTTTGAATGTCAGTCACAGTTCCTATGTGGTATCACAATGAAATGGGAGCAATTCTGCACTTCTAATGCCACCACTAAGACTACATTTAAGGTAGAATCCTCCAATGACAGCAGATCCTCTAAAGCCACCCATAGACTGTCTCCTTTTAGTAGCAAATTACTACATCACATGCTACTAAGCTAAGCCTCCTTAGTAATCCTTCCTCCTAGGCTGCATTTAAAAAAGAAATAGGGCTGGGGAAATTAATGATTAATTCCTCGGTTAATCGTTAAACTTTTTGATCGACTAAAATTCTTTTGATCGAAAATGAAAAGACTCACCTCTCCGCCGGCTTCCGGGAGTCCCGTCGGAGATCCGGTGACGTCACGGACATCGACTCCTCCCCCAAGTGGCTACGTCGGCTAACGAAGGGAAGGGGGGAGGAGTCCGGTGACGTCACCGGACTCCTCCCC